AAAATGGAATGGCCCACAGTCAGGGACATGATTATGCAGTTGAAACACTTTGTACAAAATGTCATCTTGCATTAATGTTCTCGCTGTTTCCTTGTTTGAGAGGAATTTTTCTCTGTGCAAGTTTTTGAATGTTTAAATTTCAAATTTAAGTGCTACTTCATAATTGCTTTTTTTAGGAAGGAAAAAGAATTATTGAAAGCATTAGAGACACCCGAGGAAAAACGGGCGAGGAGACTTGCTAAGAAGGTATTAATTTAACAACTGTATAATTTTGAGTTTAGGAAATACAGTATCCATAAGGCTAAAGGTTAATGTTAGTTGAGAGTGATTAAGTCAGCAACATGCTGGAAATTGATTGGTCATACACTAAGGCATGTCGAGAGAAAAACAGTGCGCCGCACCATGGATTGGAATCCATGAGGCACACAGAAGCTTGGCAGACCCAGAATCACATGACACAGAAGTATTTAGCAAGATCTCAGACAGAGGTCATCTCAAGTTGGTGTGAGGCCAAAAGAGTGGCTCAAGAGCAAGAGAGGTGGAAGGCAACAGTGGATGCCCTATGCCCCTCATGGGATTGAAAGGACCAGATGATGATGATGATGATGATTAAGTCAACTGAGATTCAAAAGATCCTGAATTGTGCACTCTGGTGATTTGTAATAAATAGTTGCACCATGCACTCAGCCAATCAGTTGCAACATCAGTTAAAACAATATTACAAGCTTTATTTTCCAAAAGACATATTTATTACTTACTTACAATACACAATATTGCAATTAGTCATCTGATTTTCATTTTCTCCTGTGGTTACAGGAGTTTCATTAAGGGTCAGGCACCAGGCAAATTGACCAACTGTGAGCATGATTTATTCCACCTGATTTGACCATTTAAAGTAAAGTTTTTCTTATAAAGAAGTTTAGCTCAAAACGTTTTGCCTGCCTGTGAAAACCAGGTGTCCTCCTGCTGAAAATGTTAACAAAACCCCTGGATTGATGCTGGCCACAATGTTTTGTCTTAAGTTTCTATTTTGTGTTGTTTGGGTTTGTTGTGATTAGCTATTGGTTGTCATTAATTACAAACTGTGTTGGGTTCAATTAATAATGGCTTTATATCCTGTCCTACATGTATGTGTTCACGGCATATGGCTAGACCATTACTTCATATATTTGCCAGAAGTTGTATTGGTTTAAACTTAATAAACTGTTTTGTTCTTGTAGGAAGCAAAGGAGAGAAAGAAAAGGAAAGAAATGGGATGGGACGATGAGTACCTGGTAACTAAAGAGATTATAACTTATAACAATCATATAATGTTTCCACTATAATAATGCATGACAGTTTATATGGTACATGTATGATTTCCTTCATGCCATGTTGTTGTCAGGTTAATTTAGCTGTTAATTTTTATCATTTTGTTTTTCTGAGCTGTGTTATTTTAATTTTTCTTGTATCTCAGGAGTATACCAACACTGACAATCCATTTGGCGATGCTCATTTGCTTGAAACTTTTGTCTGGCAGAAGGTAAGACTGCCATGAGAATTTAATCTTTTGAATTCTATTTTGCAAGCAGCGTAGTGTCTACAGGCAGGTATTTGAAAGCCAAAATGTGTATCTAGGTCCTTGGAATACCCTTTCATATCTCCTCCATTAGAATGAAAAGTAATAAATACTGTGAAAAGCAATACCGGATCTATTGCTATGGAAACCCATTAACTTTCAAGACAACGAATGTGCCCAAACAATCTGATCATCTTACTAGGATGTCTGGTAACAGAAGTGTTTTTTTTTTTCTTCAAGTTTCGTTAAGAAAATGACTCTAATGTGATTGAACTTTTTGCTCAGTTAAAAACTTTAATTTGTCTTTTAGTTGGCTCCTCAAGTTTGTGTTCCCTTCAGTTGGTACACATGCACATTGTAAGTGTTTGCAAAGCAACTAGTCGTTCTTGTAGAAATTGAGACTCCTTTCTTATCAAATTATCATAGAAGAGAGAAAAAGATGGAGAGCAGCACTTAAAGGAAGAAGAAATGAGGAGAAGAGAAAAAGCTAGACAGCAAGAAGCAAAAGTAAGGGTCAAGTAAAAAGTGTTTATTAAATAGAGAGGTTTAAAGAATGACATTAATGGCCAACAGGATCAAAACAGCAAAAATTAAACTTAAATTGTTGACCCTTATTTAACCATTAATTTGTAACCATTAATTTGTAAGAATATTTACATTTTCCATGAATTGGAGACTTTGTTTAATTTTTTGTTGAATCACAGGCAGCCCAAGTTGATAACCATTTTTCTCCAACACAAAAATTTTTAAATTCAAACTGTTGTAACACGACACCTCCATATGCTGCAAGGCGAGAGTCACATTTCACATATTTCAAACTGGGTTGTTATGCTATAGTCTGGTGGCTGAATATGTCATGTTTCGCTGAATGTTCACATAAAAGTGAAAAGAAAAAGAAAAATTCGGCCGCCTGTAGTTAAATTGATAATTTAAGGATTAGTGGAAAACAAAACAAAATCAGAGGCAATTCTTGCTGTTTGGTGTGAAGGTCATTCTTTTAAACTCTCTTATGTTACATACATTTTTATTCGTCAGTGATCAGCTAATAGTGTATATATATTGTATCGTTAACATGGNACAGTGACCGAGATAGCCAACAAAGCGATAGGAAGAATGCCGAGAACTGCTAAACTACTATCATTCAACCCACAACGCCATGCTAACAGAGCAACAAACACACTGCAAGCACATGGGACGACAACGCACGAGCTAATGAAGAATACCGCTGGACAATGTCAGCCCCAGGGTTCCCACAGCCGTATGGCGGTTGCAAACACTACAGAATGCACCAAACCCTTAACAAACGTTAACAGATGGCCAAGACAATAAAAAACGCGACCAAAAAACACTACTGACCAGACTAGCTCCCAGTCATAAACTATGAAAAATTTCATTGAACTATATCAAACACTACAGAATGCACCAAATGCTAAACAAATGCTAACAGACAGCCAAGATGCTAACAACCACCTACAAAAACGCTACTGACCAGACTAGCTCCTAGTTGTTAACTATGTTAAATTCCATTTAACTATATTTAACTTAAAGGGGCTTAGTCACGGTATTTTGAGTTATTTTGGCTAAGTACAAAATTACCTTTAAATGGTAGGAAACCTGAAAATAACAGTTTAATAAGATAGAAAAACACCAAAGAGATAATGATAAACCATAAAGGAACAAGGGTGGCTAAGGATGGAGAAGATTAACACAAATTACAAACGACGAATTTGAAAAATTGAGGCTAAACTTTTCAATATGTGCAAACCATGACTGAGCTCCTTTATGAAGAATTAACAGTTTGAACTGGTAACTGAAAGGGTTACAGGAGATATAACAGTACAGTTTAAAATAACGTGTCACAAAACAATCCTGCTAAGGATGAAAGGTTTGACTACACGTGTCAGTGTCCTTGCTGAAGTTAGAAAGACAGAGTTTGTAAACAAGATGTTTGCTGTGTGATGATGCTTATCATAAGTCCATTCTGTTTTGCAGCGAGAATTAGAAAAAGTGAAAAAGCGAAGGATTGTGAGTATAATAGATATTTCCTGATCCTGTCAGTCAAGTGCTTAGGGAGTTCAAACCTTTGGCATGAAAGCTTTTTATCTTAGGGAAGCAGATGAGTGAATAACCCTTGCTTTGTTCACTACTGCCAAATGATGGTTATGATATTAATGAAAGCAAACATCAAAATGAAAGTGAGCTGACCACTAGCGAGTGAGAAAGATTCCTTTTTGTCGAGACAGCATTAATTCTCCTGTCTTTGTTGTGGAGATTCCATATTGGATGTTAATCCTGTCTATAAGTTTATAGTTTTTTATTTAACTTTTCAGGAAAGAGAACATGAAAAGCAAATGAGAGAAGAGGAAAGGGTATGATAAATATTAATATATACAAATTATGTTATCTCATTATTCTGGTTAGAAGTCCAGGTGTTTTACACTCGGTAATATGCGACTTGTGTGAGAGCGAAGGCCATGAAACATTTAAGGTGCATTTAATGGCCTTAACTCCAACATAGTTCCTGTAGGTCAGTGGTAAAGCATTAGGATTAGATACCAGAAGGTCCTAAGTTCAACTCCATATGCCTTTGTCACTGACAGAAAAAAATATACATAAAATGTGTTAACTGCCCATCCTTAGAAGTAGTAAACCTGTTGGTGTGCTTTATGTCACGAAGACCAGTAATATATAGATTTAGCCAAGCCTAACGTGGAGCTCCTGGGCCGTGTGGGTTATTTAAAGCGCAATTAAGCTAACCCAGGATAAGTAACAATTTTGATTTGAGTATGTAATTTTGCGGTGACGTTTTCTGTATATTGTTTGGCCTTCTGTTTTGAGTTTGAATAATCTCAAAATACACAAAACAAAAGCAGTGAAAAACATTTGTATACAAAAAAAAATTATTATTCGGTTAACTTTTAATCCTGGGTTAGTGTTAACTGCCTTCTGAACAACCTGGCGCTGTTTGCAAGTTGGCTTGACATGAGCCCACGATCCAATCAAAAATCAAAACTTGGTCAGCGGTCAACTTCAAAAAAGCATGTGACCTCTATGAACCCTAAACATGAGCCCATGATATGGTCAAGTGACACTGGTCAGAGGATACCTTATTTTGACAGGTGTCAATTGACCATAATGTCGATGTCCAATATCCAAGAAGGACGCTTATAAAACAAGGTTGCATGTCTCTGTCAACCTATTAGCTGGAGTATGACCGCCATGTTGGGCAACTCCGTCATCATATGTGCCCACAAGCAATACCGCTAGCCATGATGACCATGAGAAAATCCATTCATAGGTTTCCCTTTCTTTCCTATATGAGTATGGGGCTCTGCTTAAGGGCCGCTGGAGTTCCGCTATTAAACGTTGACAAAAATGACACTGATAATGTTCTTGGCATTTTATTTGTAGCATTCAAACAGACTAAACCAAGTTCATTGAATTCATGGTTCTCATCTCTTGCAAGTAAACTTCTGACCTCTGAGATAATTATTTGTTTTGATTTCACATTTTAGGAAACTCTTCAAAGAGAGAAAGAAGCAAATTCTTTTAAAGAATGGGAAGATCAAGAGGATAAGGTACATGTTCCTTAAACTTTTCCACTTTGTTCAGTGGAACGTTCGACAGATGCCTTAATTTTTTTTTGTTTTCTTTGCATTGCAGTTTCACTTGGAGCAGGCAAAGCTGCGATCAAAGATTCGAATTCAGGATGGCAGAGGTATCTACATTTAACATATTTTTATTGTTATTATGTTATAGTGTGATTGCTATGGGTATTCACAGCAAAAGCATTTGAAGGAACTTTTGTTCAGCAGAACTCTTTTTTTTTTCTTTTTTTTGTCCTTATTCTAGCAAAACCCATTGATCTGCTTGCTCAGTACGTCAGCTCAGATGATAATGACTTGGAAATTCAAATGCATGAGCCATATACGATATTAGTAGTAAGTACTGTTTGTTTCCAATGTGTCAGTGTATTATTAGGGTTTTTTAAATTAATTCTTAGCTTATAACAATGCTATTATAGTGAGCTGTTGACTTGAAAACTGCCCAGCTGTGAATGCAATGTTTAGTAGCAATTTTGTGTTACATAATACCGCAGATACAGCTACAAGATTTGTCTCAGAAGTTTGAATACCACCAAATTAATGAAAAAGCAATTATCAACAACAATTTTGTAATCCCTGAAGATCTTTCTGAATGTTCATGATGTAGAGAACTGCAAGCCAAGCCCCGTTTTGAGGGTGAATGTAATTTCTTTTTTTCTCTGAAACAGGGACTTATGATAGAGGACTTGGAAGACCTACTAGTAGACATCAAGGTCTACATGGAGTTAGAAGAGGGGAAAAATGCTGAATTTTGGAAGGTACTTTAACTAAAGATACACTTGTATGATTAACTGGTAAACACTTGCTGTTATGACTCTAGGTCATAGATTACTCAGTTGTTTGTACAGTACTCCTACAGAAATATTAAGTTCAAGAGTTTGTATGTGGTAGAACTTTTGCTTAAAAGTACATTAAATTTTATTGCCAAAAGGTCTGAATAGTAGCAGACATGTTAAAATTTTAAGAAACAACACAATGTTTTTTAAAAACATGTTTCAACAGAATCTTCTGTCATCTTCAGTTTAAATTACAGAGTACAGAGTTGAATATTATAGTCTACACAAAATCCAAATTGACTATAAGAACAAAAGGAAACATGACATGTTTTGAAAAACTGTTGTGTTGTTTCTAAAATACATTTATCCATTTAGCACTGTTTTGTTGTTTTTGTTGGGTTGTTTACTTTTAACTTTTTTATGCCTAACCCTTGTAAATAGAAATAATTTCTATTCTGTTTGTTTTATGAACGTATGCTGTTTCCATTCTAAACAAATGTTATGAGCAAAAGATTTCTCAATCTCCTGTTTTATAATTATGTAATGTATTGGCAAGTGTACAGTACTTGCTGTTACCTTGACAATCTTTTTGATACATTTGCTCCTCTTCTCTTGCCATTCACCTTGTTGGAGCTTTCTCTGACTAAGAATGTGCAGTACTTTGCATAGAAGTGACAGACTTTCTTTCGTCACAAGCTTAAATGCAGACTACTGACAGTGTTGGTAATGCTTTGCAGGATATGACAACTGTTTGTAGAGATGAGCTTCGAAAATTGAAAAAAGAAGACCCCAGATACAGTGGTAAGCTGAATTCACATGCTCTATTTGATGCAAAGAGATTAGCAGTAACATATTTTGTACTTCAATCAGTTATGGGGTATTACGCATTATAATGACACACACATTGCTGACATATTTTTCATGTGCAAGTTATGGGATCTATGTAGGCTTAAGTAATTAGCAGTGGCTTTGTAGTGGTTAATGATCAGTTTAAATGTAGTTAGCAATTAGTTTTTAACACTTAATGGGTAGCAATCATTGCTATGTGTTTAGGTATTAGCTGCTTTTAACGAGTGTTGTGAATTTCATGGTTGAAGTACAAAGGGCGCTGAATGGTCCTTCAAAAACCATGGGTCTCACAAAACTTTTGTGGCATTTCACGGGTCTCGCAGTCTTGATTTTTTGCAAGGCTAAGAGAGTCTGAAGTACTGATTTGTTTGTTTGTTTTGTTTTGTTTATAAATGATGTCTGAACATCTTAGAATCTGAATGTCTCAAGCTTGCATTTAAAACACTTTGAAGTTTTGCAATTGAAGAAGTCAAAATGTCTAAGGTTCACAAAGAAAAATGCTAGTCTCAAGTAATGCCCAGTAAAACTAAAAAGTCCCCCTTACCTATAGAATGGACAGATCTCCACGTCTGGCAAATAATTATGTTTACAGGCCTATATAATAATCCCAGTCTATGTTCATGGTGTTGCACATTTAGCTGTTCATTTTAGTGCCCTTCTCATTCTCATTGCAGACCAAATGGATCGACGGGAGAGTATAAATGCATCTGTGAATCAAGATGTAGAAGGCATTTTTAATTCCAAAACTTACAGTCAACTTATACAACTGCATAAACAGATCAACCAGAAGATTGCAAGTGGAGATGCTGTGGACATAGGTAAACATCATTTTACATACAGTCAATTCTATATGTGTTTTTTGATGAAAAATGTACCACACTTTGGATTTGAGTAATAACAACAATAACAATAGGAGGAGTGTAGAACATAGTAGAAACTTTAAATATATCTAGATATTAATATCAATAGTAATAGAAGTTAAGAGATTCTGCAAAACAGTGTTACTAATCCAATAATGCAGGCCCTTCCTGGTACCTTTCAAATATTGATCTTTTATCCTTTTTGTGAGCGTGAGTATGGATGATACTGTAACTTTTTAACATTATCATGGAATTCAAAATAATCTGTGAAATAGATTTGTCACTGGTAAATCTCTGACTGAGAAGAACGAGGCTGTCCAAGATATTTTTGAGTACAAGATTTCAAAACAAAATTAATTAAGAAAAAATGTCATCTCTTTCAGGTTACTGGGAAACATTATTACATCAGTTAAAAGCATACATGGCTAAAGCCAGGTTAAGAGAATTCCACCAAACAATGCTGAGGAAAAAACTAGATGATCTGAAGAAGCAGGTAAGGCTAATATTTTTACGGGCTAGGGAATAAAATTAATACACGTAGGGAGCAAAATTAAATGTTTTTTCTCTCAAAATCTCCCACTACTTACCTTTTCTATCTGCTAGTCTGTTTATGGCTCTCTGCTACTCTAGTCACAATGTCAAAAAACTGTTTAACGAAATATTTAGGGTCCATGATACATTTAATTGTTTTCAATAAAGTAATGTTTGCTATTTAACAGAAATACTACTTGTTAAGATTATCAAAGCACAAAACTTTTGATCTTAACTCAATTGTCTTAAAAAGCACATGCCTCCATAATGAGATTGTAAAAGTAATTTACAAAATTATTAATATGGTACATTTTATGCACCCTCCAGAAATCAGAGATGGCTAAACAGTCTTCAGATGAATCAGAACCTGAATCAGAGCGTGAGACTAAGGAAGACAAATCAAAAACTAGAGAAGCGCCATCTGTCTCAAATGAAAGTCCTGCTAAAGATAGTGAAACTGAAGAACAAAATGAAATCAAGCCTGACGAGAATGAGGAGACAGAAGCTAGTGTTTACACAGAACAGGATCTTACAGAAGAAGGTGACATAGAATAGTGTTAAATCCAACTAACTAATTTAATGCATTTCTTCTATTGTCAAGAGAATTTGGCCGTACATCAATCTCAATATACCCCACATGTACTTAGTTTATGAGTAACCTAATTCTTGTCACCATAAAAATGAGAAACTATTCTTTGATCACTCGTGACAATAAAACGACACCCTGCCTCAAGATCCTGTTAGTATAAACTTACTTTAATGAATGACTCTGCTTCATCTCTTATAGGTTATGCATCATATGAAGCTGGAAAGTACAGTCCCAGAATGTTGAAGTTTAATGATGTTGAAGAGGTTATTNCTTTGCTCAAAGAGGGCTTCTTTGTAGTGTGTATATAGATACTAAACAATTTGACGTTTATCTCAAATATTTAAGTACTGTTGAAATATACTATCTTTTCATATTGAACCCATTGCAGTCTCAGGGCTTTCTTCTCCTTCTACCAGGGGGCAAATTAATTTAAACCCACTGGGTACAAAGACGTTCACCCCAGTTATTTTGTAACTAATGGAAGCCTAGCAGACTATTCCACATATAGGTAGTGATATTTTCTTGGTTTAACACCAACCCTAAATTAAGTTCCACTCCTTGAATATCTGCACCCTGTACAATTTTGAAATATAATGTGTGTTCATCTTCTACGCTTGTGATATAACTTAAATAGCTGTCTGTTGCTGAAATCATTATCTTTATGAACAGCTGAAGTTTTACAGACAGATGTAACATAAAGACAAAGTCCACTATTTTTCTGTAGATTACAGTCGAACCTCTATTAAGCATCCACTCTGAGGGACGAGACAACTGGCTGCTTAATAGGGGTACAAAACAAAACAAAATCACCCTTGGGACAGCAAGAAGCTGACTCCGGCTGCTTAATAGAGGTGGCCGTTGAATAGAGGTTTTTATTACAGTGTATAGCTGACAATTTTTTCCAGGATTTTGGCCACTGGCTGCCAAATAAAAGTTAGCCGCTTAATAGAAGTTCGACCGTATTTTAATTTCCTTGCTTTATTGTTGACACGTTGTGTGACGGCTCCAGTTTCAGTAAGTCACAAGTTTAATACTAGTAGGACATTTGTCTTCAAAATTCATGCTTAATTCTCATTTTTACTTTTACTGGTAATTTTAAGCATAAAAGGCTGATTTTTAAAACTACATTTGTGTTACATCTAGTATTCCAAGCTGGCAGCACAAATATCAGCCAGCATTTGCACTCATGTGCCAGTTCATTCGTGGTTTATCGTAAATATTTGGTCGACACTAGATTGACACTCAATCAACAGTTGGTCAATAGTTGGCCTGGTGACGACCAACTCACATGTATTGATCGACACTCAATGGTGTGTCTGCAAAAATAAGTCGACTCAAGGCCAAATGTCAACCAAGATGTTGATCAAGTGTTGACAAAGCATCGATGGAGATGTCAGTGGAGGATATTGATTGACACTCGACTGTGGATGCCTTTAATATACATACATGTAGTTCCAAGCCTTGAAACAAAAGCTATATGTATTGAGCAGTTGTTCATGTAAGTTAAAATGAAATTAAGAGTTTTCCTCTTGGAAGTATCTTTTTTTTGGGTGGGGAGGGGAGGGGGAGTTTAAGGATTTTTTAACTCTCAGAACCAAAAAAATAACAATAACATTGTATAATAATATTGCAATGTATTTATTTAAGAATAATGTACAAATTTACAGAGTATCATTTTCTATAGCTCCACTTTTAATAGCTCCCTCTTTGGGCATCAACATTCCATGAAAAGATCATTATAACACTCTTGGTTAGATAAATAATATGAATATTCAGACAGTATGTTCATTATAGTATCAGTTTGTTGTTGAAACGTGATTACACTGATGAGAAAGAAATGCTTGTTGCTTTAAAAGATATTGCACTTAATAGGAGCTTTCTCCAAATTCTATTCTAAATATGAAATTACTCTTTTGCAGCACCATTATAAGAAGCAATGATTCTGACTGTGCCATTGTTAACAGAAAAAAAATGGGTACAACAAAAAAGATTTTCAAAGTACAAAAAAAAAATTCTTAAGAAAAAAATCAAAACTCACTTCATGCATGACATCTTTGACTTTACTCTCTTGAAATTAAAGAAATGAAAAAAATAAACAAAAACAAAAAGAAAAGTAAAGTAAAAATGAAAGGCGGATGGATTTGAACATTTATTAATCGTCCTGGACATCAATGATGAGAGGTGTGATAAATTCACTGTGACGAATTCCAAGTGAGAATTTAGGTGGGCTTGGTTTGTTGATGTAGACTTTCTCAGGGCTGTGTGCTCCTGGTCCGGGCTTCTGAGTAGAATCTATTGAGAAAACAAGTGATTTGTATGAATGCAAAGGAAGCTACATCACGAATAGCACATCAAAAGATATGCTTCTTTGCAATCCACCTCACTTCTCTCCAGAATTAGTTTTTGTGTCAGTCAATTTGAAAGTTCAATATCACCCCAGGCAAATTTTCCCTCACCCCTCAAACCCGTGCATTAGTCATTTTGACTTTTGAGTTGGACAAATTCCCATCCTAGGGAGTAAAATGTTCAAAAAAAGGTCAGACTGAATAAGTAGTGCAAAAGAAAAATTGTCACTCTTGCACAACTGCTTTCAGCTTCTATAGAAGTAACTAAATTTTCGCAAGTGAGACTGTTTTTAACCTCAAACACTGTACAAACCTATTTCAGACTATTGTTTTTGATACAGATTGTTTACAAAGAACAGTAACATTGTCTCTTGGTGAATTCAAATCCCCCACCCCTCCCATATAGTGTCAAATTCCAGCCCCCTTGGGTGCCTCAACAAGTTAAATGCCTTGGGCATGTCTGGGGGATGTTGATTTCTTCTACTTGATTGATACATTAGTATCTTGGATGGAATGTGACAAGTCAATCTTAGTTTTAACACTAAATCCAGATAATCTTTCAACTCCACAAAGTAACAAAAAGAACATTTTTAAGTCTACCTCCAGGCATGAAGTTTCTTGTGAGCATTGAGTAACAAGGATCCTTTCGTTTGGTAACAGATGGGTCTACAGTACGGTAACGCCCAGGCCCTGGTGTCTTGGCAAGATCCTCAGAAAATCCACCAGTTTTTGCTCGTGCAGTCATTGAGTAGGAAGCAGATGAATTTTTGCTTGGAACTCGGGGGCCAAGAAGTGCTGGCAGGGTGTACGAGTTAGGTGATGGAGTAGCGTCACCTAAGAGAAAAGAAGAAAAAGCACATTAAAAATGTGTACTTTTCTTTACCATGTCATTCTTACATACATAAGCCAATCAAAATGAAGGAAGCATCTTCCTAAGATGTTTTTATTATTATTGTTTTTATTACTGGAATTCGATAAACGATACGCACAGCTCAACCAAGTGCAATGCACTTTCAAGAATAAGGTTTTAAAAAGCTTCTTACGTTTCCTGTATCTTGTCCTTTTACCCATGGAGTATACAGGGGCATGCCTTTCTCCTTGAGGGTGGACCTTCTCTGGTGAATATGCCCCTGGTGCTGGCGTCTTGAATGTGACTTTGGGAGGCAAATAAACAAGAACGTGATAAGTAATGCATTAGTATTTGTGCTGCCTGTTAAAATCGCAATAGACCAGAATACTATATTCAGCAAATCTGATTGCCTCATTCATTAGATGCTTTTTATAACTAAACTCAAAGTGCAAACTGACTCAATTTGTGCTAAAGTGTTTGCTTAGCCATCTAATTAGTATGTTAATTTTCATCTATAGCCTACTTAAATATTCACTTTCTCATTCTCATTTTCTCTTGATAATGGCATCATGATGACTCTGAAATGTTGAGTATTATATCATTTAATAATTCTTGTATGTCATTGCTTTAGCAAATCTCTTTTGATCAAAAGCATAATTATGTACATAAAACACCCCTTCTCATTTTCACCCTCACGTTGCAGAAATTCATAAAATATCACTTCAAAATAATTATATTCAATATTGTTAACTGGTGAGTGTTGCATAGAAAAAGGTTCATTAACTCTGATGGACACATTCAAATGATGCTAGCACCCAGCCTTTATTTATTAATGAAATATCTACAGTTTTGAAGGCTAAATTTAACACCTGCAATTTGCAATAAAAAATTACTGCTGATGGATACTAAAACGTGATAAAACTCACACCACTGCAGTAGCCATACTGAACATAACTAACGTGTCTTTGAATCGAATATTCAGGGTTAAGATTTAATATCTGTTTTACATATCTTGAAAAAATTAGAAGCTGAATTTGTTAAAACTGCTCATTAATTATTCAAAATGCAGAAATTTTGTTTTGGATTTAAACATCTCTTTTTAAATATAACTTCATGCACTAAGCAACAGTTTAAGAAGACCTTTTGTGCTCCAATAATAAACGCGGCATATTTAGGAACTTGATGCATTTCAATTTATCCACCAGTATAATACAAACAGACAGGTGTTTACATAAATTTCCTATACTTTGTAACTTGAAAATCCTTTCTTCTGCAAAAGCCTGGTTCATTTCCCAAGTAAACCATTTAATGGCTTCAATTATACTCAGAAAGCCCCTTATGTCTGTGTTAAAGAATTCTATGGTATATATACTTACGCTGGTCTCGCTGTCTTCCCAGCATCGAATAAGAAGGAGTGCCATCAACACCCGCCCTCGTTATTCTAGGGTCAATCTTATATCCTGGCCCTGGGCTGCAGTCGGAACTAAACACTAAAAAGTCGAGAAAATAGAAACAAAAAACATTAAATCATCGAACTCTATTGACATGTTGGTGAGGGAAAACCCCACGCGGCTTAATTTCAAAACATCACGATCACAATTTTCCACCCTTTGCATTGCTTACTTGAATTATCCAAGCGCGTTCCAAACGAGTATGCAGGATAACAGCGCTTTGTAAAGTCGTGTTTCTGATAACCAGTCGTTGTAGGGAGAGCATATCGCCCAGGTCCGGGTCCTGCGAAGAAAGAAAACACAAAGCAACCGAAATTAGATACCTCCTTAGCGACTCAAGCGGAACTGTGATAAACTGTAAACATAGTCTTATCAACATAACCTACTAACTATGGGAGAACCATGTCAAATATATTTCCAAATTGCCACAATTCGAGCAAACAGTTTTACATCGATCAGATCCTAATCAAACTTTTCATTCACATTCAAGAGAAAAGTGACGGGAGAAAGGTAATTGATAAAATCGAAATGACAGTGAAATCAATTAACGGAGTAGCGAGTAGAGGCTACTAATGGCCGTGAATATTCACCAAAGAGCAGCTGTGTAGACAACAGCTTCCGTATGGTTTGTTTTGTTCAAGGGAAAGCAAAGAAATGTTTTATTGCACTTCCCTCGCCATTGATCATGAAAAAGATATACCCTATTGAGTATATTATCATTTTGAATCAAAATTTCGCTGAAGCGGAGAATAATGTATGGCATTGATGTAGAAGCCGTGCGGGAATGCCATGTAATTAAAAGTAGCGAAATAGAGATCCGACTGAACTTCAACTGACTGCAGCATTTTTCTGTTAATAACTAAGTGATAAGTTCAGACATTTTGTCATTATTTTTCTAACCCAGCCAGCATCTGTTGTTGAAATGATCGAGTTCGCCAAATCGCGTGGCTTGGAACATGAATGCGCGCTTGTGTGAAGCTTTTAAATTACTACCGCTTTGCTTAGAATCCATCCGTTGAATTACTCATCAAACTTCACATTTTTATCAGACTATAAACTAACAGTTCAGTGTTAGATTTTTTGAAACGTTTGAATTAGATTGCGATGTTCCAATGAAGCCCGAGAATGAAAGAAGATGAAGCATGCTTTGAACTAAGTCCTCATCAGAACTTACCTCGTTCTCTAGCTGCAATCTGCAGTACAGCTTGTTCTCCCGCTTCTTCAGTAGCCATGTTTCTTTAGGTTCAGGGTTAGAACGGCTGAGAATTGTCTTTGAGAAAAGTTGCCGAAATTGTAACAAAGATCTCGACGCCGCAAATTCCGATGCGATTCTGCCTTCCTCTCGTTGAGCACAAAAACTTTTCTAACAACGTTGCCAGGATGCCGGTTTCCGTAGCAACACCCCTTAGCAACAGGTAAACATTTCGTAGACTTCCGGTCAAATTCATTTCCGGTCATCAACATTTCCCAATCGGCTATCAAAGTTATGCAAGTAATTCCTAGATCAATCTAAGAAAGTCACAAGGGAAATTTCGCCCGAGTATTAATTTAAAAACTAGGCTATGCAAATGCATCTCTTTATTTAATTTCTGTAACCACTTGTGCGTCAAAGGACGGCACTTCAAATTAGTTATGCAACTAATAACTAGACAGCTATACCAAACTGAAAACTCGCACTACCAGTAATTAGTCACGAAATATTGTCTGTTAGCGCTTTACCTTAAAAAATTAATATCGACTTAATACTTCGGCATTTATTTCATTTATCCAATTTCCAGGGAAATGCAAAACGACCTTGTTTTGGGGTAAAGATTGCGTAATTGCCAAACATTTTTGTCCCTAATGAATTCTTGAGGTTTAATTTGCATTTGACGGTGACACTAAAAATCATACCCTCAAGTAGTCGCGGCCATCAATAGTACTTGGAAGGAAGCTTTAGAAGAACTTAGTTCGAAATAAGTGAAAATAAATGAAATCGAACTCAAACTCAGCCCGGGAACTATTTTGCCGTCAAAGAAGTGTCAAGCACCAAACAAAGGAAACTGAATATTCGCTCGTGCCTGTTTCAAAACGAGTCTTCGTGCAAAATCTTTCTCATGAAAACGAGTTTGATTTGAAAGAAAACGAACCTCTAGGGGAAATACATTTTCATATGAACGGTTTTACACGAGGACTCTGACACAAAGGCCATCATCATTTATTGACATTTGCTATATCGCTTGTGTTTGTAGTCGATATAACGCGCACTCTGATTCGTTAATTCTAGGATGTCGGTTTGAAGTTTTCCCGCAAAGACCTCACTCTCAATTAATAAGTAGTTATTATTACCATCAAAGGAGGATTTGCATTATATTGCTAGCTTTATTTGAGTATTTGAGTAGCCTACGTTGCAGACGGAAATTTCCTCGTAAGTAGTCCAAATAACTGTCTGTTAGCGTCGGCGACGCAGGTTATATTTGAGCCAACGAAGGGCGTGGGCTAAAACCGAAGCTTCTTCAACCCCAAACGTCTCCATGGCGCTTTTTCCCCGAGATATTTTCCCGCGCGTGTTGGGTGACATGCAAAGAAGTCTAATAACGATGCTTCTCCCATTCTCGCTGGAATTCGTTTTATCTCTTAGCAGGTGAAGCCCAAGCTTGAGCCAAGCTTGAGGTCTCTGGGCACAAGAATACCTTTCTCTCTTCCCACGCGCCTGGTAGCATTTTTTCCTCCATCATCCGCCTCTTACAAATTTACTTTTCGAATGTATCTGAAGGGAAAAAAAGCTACAGTCTCGCGCGTCTCCCCTTCGCTCAAACAAATCACAGCCTCTCTATTTTTCAACGCACGCGAAAGAAAGAGCGAGCGCGAAGCACGAGGTTCTCTCGCGATTCTACCCAATGATCGAATTAAAGTACGAGAACACAGAGGGCTATGAACAGTCTAAAGAAATTAATTATTGTCTCGAGCCAGACATTCGGTTACGCTATTTGAGAGTTGTTTTAGTAACAATCACTTTTTGCAATTGACGAAGCCGCTGTCGTAAGCTTAAAAGACTACCGGGGACACGGAAGTTATATAAAGAATTCTTACCAGAAACTTGAACAATCTTTTATTACTTTATTTGTTCTAGAATTTTCTGTCATCGCGTGCATCTTAATAAATATCGTCTAAAAAGTATCGTCTAAATTTCGTCTGAAAACTACTGAACTTAAACCGTGAAGCGCTATTCACTAAATGGCGAGATAGATAAGAAAGCAGCATGTACAAAAAGCCTATTGCTTTCTAACTAATACAATAATGAAATCATGATAGACACTGAAAACTACCAGAGAATCTGTAAATTCCCTGGTACTAAACACTAACCAACCTCGTCCCCAGGGTCTCTCATCTCTCGGACTCAGGTAGGACGGGAAGATGAGAGAAAATATTTTGATCAAATTCTCCCAACTTAAAATGCAACAAGGGTAAGGACGCAGAGAAGGAGAATTTGTTTGTTAAACACAACTCTCAAAGCTTTTAAAGGACATACACACACCGGTTTTCCGAGATACCGGATATTTTGTTCTAATTATTAATATGATATTAAACTAATTGCTTTTCCTTTTGCTTATCGATAGAAATCGGGAGTGAAAACAGAAAATATCAATTTCTTTGAAATCGATTTTGAAACTTTAAAATTGAGAATATCTTAAGTCCCATGGTAAGGACAAACTGTAAATAATTTAACTTTACGTGAAAAAACATGATGTTTCTTCCGTATGTTCCCATCTAATCTTTACATCAGCCTTGTACCTAATCTTCATGCTCGTGCTTTCCGAACGGTACCGATCCGTATTCCGACCATCTCCGATGACCATTCGTTGTAGTGTCGTTCATTCTATGATATTGCATTGGTTTTGCCTTGCAATAGCACCAATCTTTTATTTGTCTGTGTCAGGACGTCGACGTCAGGCATGTTTTACAACATCTGTCCTTCCAGTGTTTAAATCGGCAAAATTTGTGAAGTACAACCAACTTGCAAAAGTAAGTATCTCTGCTACTCTCAGCACAGCTTGGATTTGGTTGACCGCGCGACTGAACTGTAAACAGACAGAAAAAAAATATATCGCTTGTAAGAAGAAAATTTTCTCTCAGGTTTCTGTGTCCTCTGTAGATGTACAAAGAATGTCTAGTTCTTTTTTTACAAAACATACGCAAGCGAGGACTGCAAACTGTATTTTGCGGATGGCAGACATGGTGAAGAATGCAGCTTAAATAAATTCAGAGGGAAATATTGAACCATATATTTGTTACGTTAACTCTTACACAGTAAGGGTTACGCTAATCCTAAATTCTAATACAAATCTTTGCTTCAATCAAGAAGTCTGGATGACGACGTACCTCTAAAGGGGTGTATCTCCTCTGATTGGTTGTTTCATGCGAAATAAAATCTCAGTATTTCCCTGCTCTTCTATCTCAGACACTTGAATTTAATCAGTTCTCAAAGAGACAGGGCCGTAAATATTTAGAGAGCTTACCTGTTTTTTCACTTGGACACTTCTTGTTATTGCACTCTTCGTGAGTGTTTGGCTTGTTAACTAGGGTACATTGTGTCGACGCCAAGCCAGTTTTAACAGCAATGCATTTCACACTGCGCTTGCGCGTTCCGCTCCCACAAGAAGTTGAGCACTGGATAAAAAGGCAAGTTTTAAAATTAGTTTGCTAATGCATACTTAGATATATATAGTTTCTTAATGCATACTCAGATATAAATTTTTTTTTTTAAATTCAATCGTTCATTCATTCATCCATCGATCCAGCCATCCATCCGTCCGTCCGTTCGTCTGTTTGCTCGTTCGTTCGTTCGTCCGTTGGTCCGTTGGTCCGTTCGTTCGTTCGTTCGTTCGCTCGTTCGTACGTACGTACGTTCTTCAGTTCTTTGGTTAGTTAGTTTGTTAGTTTGTACGCTGGTTCGTTCGTTGCTCCTTCATTCATTCGTTCAGTAACCTTCTGATTAAGTTCATACTCAAGCCTGCAGTTTGCTCAATGATATGCAATATTTCACTTTGTTCTCTGTGTTTGCTAACTTTTTTTTTTTGTTGCATTGTGTTTGCTAAATGAAACAATAATGTCGCGCAATGATTTTGTCATAGCGGAGAATCTTGACTGCCAAATCCTTGGCGTGGAAAAGGCCTTTCAGCTTTGTACACTGAATATGAATTAGAAATTTGATTGTTGTTATCTGTCACTTGTGTCACCTCGTAGCTTGTTTTCTAGCCATATGCCTTGTAAAAATTTTGTACAAATGCCTTGTACATTAGGTAAACTTAAATGACGCAATGGGCAACATAATGATGTGGAGATTTAGCGCGTATTGAATGCCACTTACTTTCGTCCAGAAACCAACATTCCACTCCGCACAGGAGGCCATGGAACATTTCCTTTGTTTTGGCGGTTTAGTGTCCTTGTTACAGTGTATGTCTGAGCCTGCGCAGTGAACAAGACGGAACTGATACCCTTCACCACAAGTTACCGAACACTGCAAGTGAAACGAAAAAAAATTCAATTCAACGTAAGAAAAATGGTACAGCTGATCCTCTGTCTCAAAATTCTTGACTTCCTGCCTTAACTACATTGTTTTATCAACTAAACAAATTGAAGATCTACTTTCTACAGGCACAAATCGTACCTTACTCCACGCTCCCACTGTCCATTGCTGGCAGTCCCGTCCAGTGCAGCTCTTCTTGGTAACAGATCCTGCCACAGGTTCGATTCCTGCATCACTTCCTCGAATAACAGCCTGTTTGAAAAGACATTTATAAAATAACTGAGACGCTATGCGCGCTCTCACTGGTCGAAAGCTGTGTTTAGATTCATGAGAGTATGTACACACGGTTGTGACATTTTAGATTTGCGCGTCTTGTTTTGAGAAATATTTTATAAAAGCAACTGATAGAGATTGTTGTCTTCAATCGCTTAAGCAGCACACTGACCAGCTAAACAAAGAATACTCTAGGTTTCTGCCTACTGTTTGCGACTTGCTTCTTTAACGTGAGTTCCTCCCTAGCTACCTACAAAAACTGACCCTTTGAGTCAAATCGATTGTCCAAAAAAATACAATACTTTACCATAGTTCGGGGCGGCGGAGTGAGCTTAGGACACGGTCTGTCGTTACAGTAGGCCCAGGAGATAGGTACAGCTCTACTGTCGCACTTCTGTTTAGGGTCTACAGCTGGGCAAGTTACTCTTCGTTTCTTGATTCCTTGGCCACAGGACACCGAACACTGACAAGTAAGATGATCAAGTTTAACATGTATTTCTAAACAATTAATTATGAAAAGTGTAAACGAAAAGGACTCTACCACTAAGAACTTGACTTTGGTACCATTATAAAACCCTTCGTACCTTTGTCCAGGCGCCCACAGCCCACGCCAATGGACACGGTTTCCTGAAGCACGACCTTACAACATCAGGCTTCTCTCTGATCTTTGTACATTCTTCGTCTTTTAATGCAACTTGTTCGTCATTTCCAGCACTTCTGATGCAAATCACTGAACGAATTGAGATTCCTTTGCCGCAGCTTTTAGAACATTTCTGCCATGGTCCTTTCCACCATCTATAGAGACAACATTCAGCGAAAAATACATTGTGCACCTTGCCCTAGCTCGGGAGTTTTAAATTAAACGAGCTTACCTAAGTTCAAGTGAATTTGTGGTATGGCTTATAATCAGATATGAATATCGAACTAAATTTGTTTAAATCGTTACACATGGCGTTTATATCCAGAAATAAATTTAACATTTCCATTGAATGGAGACGTCAAAATTCAGTTTAGCGTATGTTTATGCTCGACTTATAGCGCGTTCTTCAGTAACTATAGCTGCCTTTGAACGCAATTGAGAACAAAGTAACTCACCCAAGCTGGACTGATTAACCTCGAAATTACTAAGTCTTATCTATTCAACATATTATCAACACCACAAAAACGTAAGCAAGCCATACTCCTCAATTTGTTTTGCCATGGTAGGAACAAGTTTTCTATCCCATCAAAGACCCCCGAAAAGGTCGCTGTTTACTCACGTGGGTGGACACGGGTCTTCATTACAAGTCTTCTGTCTGTCATCTGGTCTTGGTAGCGGCTTACAATATTTGTCATCCACCGGTGTACCACTCTCCTCGATACACTCCACTTCAGAACGTGTGGAACCTATCAGATGGGTTAAGTTTATTAAAAACAATAGGTTAATACTCGCGCTTCTAATATCCGCTAAGAAAATCAGACAGACTTTGAAAACAGACATTTCAAAAATCATCTCTGCCAGTTACTGTAGCAAGATAATGCACGCAGTTCGGGTTATGAGAGAAATAAAACATAAAAAATAAAAAGGGGCAATCCGTAAAAAAAATGATATTAAAGGAGCTCAGTCACGGTTTGCGCATATTGAAAAGTTTAGCCTCAATTTTTCAAATTCGTCGTTTGCCGGTAATCCGTGTTAATTTTCTCCATCCTTAGCCATCCTTGTTCCTTAATGGTTTATCATTATCTCTTTGCTGTTTTTCTCTCTTATTAAACTGTTATTTTCAGGTTTCCTACCACTTAAAGGTAATTTTGTATGTGGCCAAAGTAACTCCAAAATAACGTGGCCAAAATACCGTGACTGAGCCCCGTTAACGTTGAACTCAAAATGACACCTTTAAACTTTACAAAGGTGCTACAATACTCACCTACGCCACATGTAGCCGAGCATGGTGTCCACTCGCTGTATTTCCATTTGAACACCAGTTTGTGGGTGATCGTCTGGTTCTTAGGGATTGTGTATTCGAATTTAATTCCTGGGTTTTTTGTTTGGAACAGGAGCTAAGAAAGAAAAATTAATAAAGATAAAATATTACAAGAAGACAGCACTTCTCGCAGTAAAGACCTCACCTAGTCCACCTGAGGTATGAGGCACGTCTTCGTAAGAAAGAAATTACCAGAGAAGGGCAGGTTTTTAATTCCTTTAATCTCCAGGCATTGACAACATAAAATTTCGCCCTGCAGTATCGACTGCACAGCACATGCACAGAGAATTATCAAGCATTTGAACTAGCCCTGGGGACGAGGTTGACTAATGACATACCATAATATGTAAGTCATCCGTGGTCGGCCCCAGGGCCTGGAAAGTCTCCTTGTTGTGTGTTCGTTTGTAGAACACTGTGGTACCGCCGGCGGTGTATTCACCACTCTGTTGAATGTACCAATCACCATTCAGATACCATTTACCGCTGGACGATCGCAACGCTAGGTAGTTGGGAGCACTGGCCACTTCTTCCACGCGTATATTCCTGGCTCCAGCTGGAATCACTTTTGTTTCTACGTACCCTACAAGGAAAACAACAGGAGCAAAGATTACTTCCTTCGGTTTAAGGATTGCGATCATGCACAGGAACTTGAATAATGTAGCCAGTAAATGTTTAGTCTTTCTCGAACAGGTTATAAAATAGTGAACCATCAAAAAACCATAACGCAAGCGATTTGGGAACTGTATTATCAATTCGAATGTTTCGAAAGGCATCGCCTTACTTCTTCAGAGTCTTGGAAAGAATACTCAAGGTAAAATTAAAATGTGGAGGAAGCAAAATATAATACTATGATAGCTGATTAGGTCCTTTAGAGCTACAGTGACATGCCCAGTACTTCTGTTTTGTTACAGTGGTCCTTTCAAACGTGCGACTGTTTTTGATAAAATAGTTCTTTTCAGTCATACCTATTCCTGTTCTCTGGTCAAAAGTGGACTTGACCGTCTCACACGCTGTCCCATCCCCACGACAAACACCGCATTTATCTTCTTTAGCGCTTGAATGGAGAACGTTATCACAACCAACATGCTAAAAAAACACAAAAGCGAAAAATGAAGTGAATTCTTATACATGATAAATGTCCAATCCAATCCAGTCTACAGTCATGTTTAATGCTAAAATTTTTGATTAGTTACGCTGTTGAACCCCCTGTAATTTCCGCTAGTTACATCCTCTTTTCCCACAAGTGGAATTCTGACATATTCCATCTTACAAACCTCACATTTGCCGTTGATACAGACATTACGCTTTCCAGGAAAACAAGGTGTCCCGTCATGCACATGATCAGCCAACTTCTTGGAGAAGTACAAACCAAACAATCCTTTAGGTGTGCAGTGCAACTCGCATGGTGAGACTAAAGAGGAAAATCACAATGTCAGTAATTATTCTGAAACTGCAGCTCTATGTATGCTGTGCAGACCTAGATAGGGTTGTTTCCGTGTTTCCTGGATTAAGGTCTTCGTCACCTCGTTTCCAGGGTTTTCGTTTGAAATTGGCAGGGGCCAAGGAAAAAGCCCTGGGAACGTGATTGAGGTGTTCGTGGTTATGCTCATGGGTCATAGTTTACATGCCGGATGTTAATTGCCATCACTTTGATGCAACCCAGTGTTTTAAATCAGGTAATTATTAACTATACCTTGTGAATAACGTGGTTTCCATTTCCACTGTTTGTTATTAATGCGTTTATTGTCAAACTGTGAACATTGTAGCTCGCGGAAACTCACACTACCAGCTGGGCATGGCTGAAAAAAAAAAAAAACGTTAAACCATAAATTCCATTGCACAGATTAATCGAAACTCTTTCCATGTATAAAGATTGCTTAAAAAATTGAACTTATCTACCTGTGTATTGCACAGTTTATATTTCTTCCACTCGCCGATGCAGTACTTTCCTCCATGAGCTGGGCTGAGATAAAAACAATAACGTGTTGTTTGAGATCGACTGAAACAACCAAAACCGTGGTATTTGATTTGTCTGGTACCCTTGAACAATCCATCTAACAAACATACCGGTAATAAGAGCTGAAAAACAGTTCATTATAGACACTTAGAAACATTTTCTTCAAGAGTATATATCACTTCTACACTATAGTATATCAGTATCTTATAGACATACCGGGGATTATCACACTGTCTTTCCGTGAATGAAACTCCTGAGCCACAGGTTCGTGAACACTGGCTGTAGTTTCTCCAGGGACCCCAACCGCCATCGACGCTCTCTGGAATCTCTCCTCTCTCGATGCAGCTTCCTTTGTAACACCACTACAGAAAGAGCGAACAAACTAAGAGATCGAATTTGAGAGGTTTATTATGAATTTGTAACTTTGGGTCAAACGGCGCGCATCTGTACCAGTTTGCGTATGACTGGCCTTACGTAAGTAAGTTTCGTTCAGTGGCAAGTTCTAAGCCAGGCTGCGCCCGATTCAAAATGTCGGTGGTATTTTTCGCGATCAGTCAGTCTAAAGTAGCGTAAGTAGGTGCATTTCGTGTCTTAGTTAATGGTTAGGGCCTAGGAATGTCAATCATTCGTCTGTTGAGACGAACTCTTTTCGTTTTCACCTTGTTGTCACCGCATTTTGTTCCATCAGCTGCTGGTTCCATTTTGGAGTGACATGATCTTCCAACTCGACACCACAAACTGTTACAGATGTCCTACAAAACAAAGCAACAAATAAAATCAAACACAAGCGAATTCGATATGTAGACATTTTCCAGTTTGTTTATTAAGCCAATAAAGTAAATCAACCGCTGTAGTTAATTTAGACAACCGACTTTTCAAGTGTTCACCCACTGTCTATGTCAAATAGCTAACATTCAAAACATGAACCATGCGACTCAATGCCAACTACTAACAAGTCCAAATGCAAACACGATGCCTAAATTAAATACCCGACGCATGCAACCTTTACTGTGCACATTTACATCATTTGCAAGGATTGGTGTTCTGGTTTTCTGAAAACAGCTCAAACTTACCATCATACCAGTGCAGTGAGAAGACTCAAGGCCGTACTGCAAGCGGCATTGGTGGTCGGCGTCGTATATCACCCCTGGTGACATTGTGGGAAACTTGAAGTCATGCTTTGCAGGCTCATCATCAAGACAGCGGCCCCAGCCTTTACTGAAAAGAAAAACAGACATCAGACTCCACCTACACAATGATGTAGCAAATGGCGTCATGTACCGATCAGAACGGAGAAAACATGGGACCCGAGTTTTCAGGATAAAACGAGTAATCCACTGAGGGCTCGAAGCAAACCATGTTAGGCCTGGAAAGCGCGGGATGTGTGCATGCCAAATCTGATTGGCTTAGCGGAGAGCTCTTTCATTCTGATTGGTGAGATTGTGTTGTCCGAGTTTGTCACCAGCTCCAACCCAGAACCCAATGAAACACAGAATTTCTTTTCAGAGTAAATGAAAGAGCGGTCTTCAGCAGTAGACTACGACTCACTTTAAGAAGCGCCTGACATAATTTCTGCTGCAAGAAGACCACAGTTGTTGTCGGCCTGAAGCTTCTAGTTGAGGAGACATCAGATATGGTTTATCTTGACTCCACTTGCAGTCATTTTCATTTCCATCGTGTAACATTCCAAAACTAATGGTGGAGAAGAGAGGAAATTTATGACACAGTCTTTGTATCGAGTGGAAACTGTTCCTGATAGATCAATTCAAAATCCCTTATATATATTTTTTATAACTTTTACTAAAACGCAATCTATCTAACTGACTCGATTTCTACCATAACAAAGAACTGTAACCTGAAATTTTGATTCAAAGGGGTTATAAACGAAGCCATAGCGTTTTAGATCTGCGGAGAGGAAATTATTTCTTGCTCCACCCCGGCACCCGCGACGGAACTGTTTAGTGAATCGAAATAATACAAGTAACAGCAAAAACGTAACGATCAAAACGGCTCACTGGTCCGTTAACCCACTAAAAACAAATAGTGTTTTTGAGTAGAATTAGAATTCACAAAACGCTCCAGTCGTATAGCAAACACCCAGGTTTGATTTGTACTTCGCGTCTATGACAAAATGATGGCTCGGAGAGTTCTACTTTTCTAGGACGTTCGATCTTGCTCAGTAATCAGTATCAACCCACCGCTTTGGTTTATAATATAAACCGCAGTCTTGATAATTCTCAGTATCGTTCACAACTTAATCCAATAACTGCTAATTATCCGTCTTTCGGGAGATGCAGTACACTTTGTGTGCATTAAGCCAATATCCTCCGAGGCTGGTCAATTTGTTCACCCGACAAACGCAATATACAGGTAATACTTGAAACTGAGTTACAACTTAAGTCGTAATACAATAGGAATTTGCTCAGTTTGCTTCTCGTAGGTAAGCAAAACAACTGAGTTCTTTTTGAAACTTATGCCCTTTTTTAAAGGATGTGTAACGCATTCCAGCAGATGGAACATTACCACGTGGGAAGCGTAGATGGTTTTGCTGACACCTATCCGCTGGCTAGAGATATATCTGGTAGATAGCATTGACCAACCTTAAAACAACTGAAACCTGACCTATGCTCGCAAATAATTTCTAGAACCGAAACCAATAAACCGGACGTGCGCACACGGAGAGAGACGCCAAATCCTTCGTAAGAGAAAATAAAGCTTTTTTGACATTATTTACCGATGTGGTTTTTTGACCAATTTTCTAATCTATCACAAACAAAAACCGCGAGGAAGTCGAGGAAGTTGAGGACTTTATCTCACCTCCAATTTCTTGGCACCAGAAGTGAGACATTAGTTCAGGCCTAACACCGCGCCCTTTACATTTTAATCTTGTGACAATAACTTATCCTGTAATACGAGTTCGGAAGTTGGCTTTTACCGGATTAAGGTAGATAGGTGCTTATGGCAGTGAAAAATTGTTAAGCGTTTGAAAGACCTTAACAGTTTTTTCACTGATGATTATCTATTTCTACTTTTATGTGTGCATAAAGTCACGGTTCAATTTCCACCAAAGCCTCAAGATGAAAAAAAAAAAACAATGTGAAGAACCAAGGCGAAAGTTTGGATGGACATTAAGTACACTATATAATTTGTGTTATAGCGGAACAAAAGTTGCTAGACGTATAGCAACTGAACTACGAAGTATAAATCTTTCACACAAGGGTTCTCTTCTAGAATTATTAATACGGTTAGAAATGTTTGGCTAACTTTATGTTGTGGCAATGTTTTATTTTCGTAACTTAACTGTTTAGTTTACTTCACAGTTACATCCTCTGTTGTATGATAAGGCAGAAAAAATTCCGTCCTGAATATTTCAAAGGCCCTAACAGTAACAAATTTCCTGCAGAGTAACTCGCCGTAAAAGATGGCTTCGATTGACCAGTGTTGTAAGCCAAGGAATTAACTTATCGTGTGACAAAGGTTATCTGGATAACTTGCGGTATCCAGCAGGATCTAGATTGAAGGAACGCCGACAAAATAAGTGATACACTGGTAACAATCATTGAAAACGCTGCAGTAGAAGATAAACAATCCAAATATCGACTGTCTGGTCTTTGTGAATCTGGTATTTTATCTTTGCTGTGATAACACATGTCCTGTAATCCATGAAGATAAATTTAATCAATTAGTGTCATCAGTTTTTTTTTTTGAGCAGTTATTTTTTGACACAGACGCAAAGTCTGTGTATATCACTGTATGTGACCTTCATCATAAACTGAAATATGCAATACGCTTTGTTCCCAGTTCGAAATAGAAATTCTCTCTAATCATTGGCATCATCTTTTTAAGTGATAAGAGACTGGAGGTACGTCAAATCTTTATCCTATAGTTAATGGTTTTCTTTATTCTCGTCAACTGTCGCTCAACATCGTATTAATATGGCATGGATAAAATCCGATAGCGATCAAATTTGGAATTTGAAAGATTAACAGTTCTCGAAGCAATCAGATCAATGCGTTAATATTTGAATTGCCTCCAAAATGACTGCTCTTATATCTCAAGGAACAGATACAAAGATAAAACTTTTCTGGATTAATGAGATATTTTGGGTATCTGCGATCTACCGCCAAAAAATTAAAACGGTCTCGTCCTTAATTAATTAAGATATAGACCTTGATAATAGCGCGTGTTCTCTTGAACCTGGCGTCGAAAAGGCGCGAGAAATCTATCCAGGCAATGATGGAAATTAATTGCTGTTAAGATAAACACCGGACAGAATTCACGAGTCAAACTGACTGGTAGTATTGCTGAATGATACGGTATGTTTACTTTTGTGCGTAACAAAAGAGATTTAAAGAAAAAATATTTCCCAAATCGATCATTCATGCATTAAGCCTTTTTAAGGTGATCATGCACATTTTTTCAACTACACAAACATTCTACCGGAAAAAAAAAATTTGGAATTTTCACCGCCCTATAATCTTCATTAGACAGGGTTACGCGTAAAAAATTTAGCAATATTTTCTTTGTAAACACGTCGGTCTTCGTTAGCAAAAGTTAAATTGTAAATAAACAAGATTTGCATTTTATTCGTTCTTAAAAACTCCTGAAAAAATGCGCGTGTCTAAACAGATAAAAACTATAAAATATTCAGGGTCATTATCGTGTAAATATCAGTAGAATATTTTGGGTCATGGAGAGCCGACTTGTTTGGTCTCCTGTTCCAGGGTGGTGTGAGGGTGTCAGATAAATATTACGTCACAGGGAAAGAGGGAGGATTCAAATTCTCGAAAGTCCTCCAATGTTGATACGTTTAGAGCGAGCGAAAGATCTGCAAAATGTCCAAGTGTGCAGTACAGAACACAGACTCCACTCACTTTACTTTATGCTTTGACCCCCGGGTGGTGCAAACTTAATGCGACTATAACAAGGCGTTACATGAAAAGCTGAGAGCGAAATAATCTGTAGAAGGTTTCCTTACTTGTGTCCAATCTCGTGGGCAATAGTGTAAGCCAGGTTCAAGCCATTATCTTCATTCACGTTACAACTCTTGTCTTTGGTACAAAGACCGTTCACCTGTGAAAGACCTGAAAATAAAATCAACGACGTTACGGGTTTAGGTCGTAATCGTTAGCAGATTGGATATGTAGCTGTATTTCTTGTATGGTTATAGGTACATGCTGTATAACAGGTAAACATAAAGAAATCAATGAATCAGTGCTAAGTCTAGCCAAAGTAACGAAGTCGAACAAATCAGAACGACAGTGGTGGATTTCACTCAGTCAAGAGAAAGATCCAAACCGCTCACGACTTGGCTTTCGCTCAATTTCCCACGTTTGCCACCATGCCAGTTGCATGATTTTACTCGGAGTTTCGATTGGTTTATTGGTGTTTTGTGTTTTTCTGACGGTGCCTGGCCAGAGTGATAACTTTGGTCTATGACAGTCAACAAGGAACTGCATTAGGTCTTAGCCGGTTTAAAAAAACTGGACATAGGGTGATTACGTTATGTTACTATCGCCGCCATTTTTAACAAGCGAAAAATCTCTACCGTGAGTGCTTTACGAGGATATTATAAGTAATATATCAAACACGAAAGACCGTGTTTGACCACATTTCCAAACACCGAGGACGGTTTTCGACGAATATCAAGGTGTTTGGAAATGTGGTTCTACACTGTCTTGAGTGTTTGATATATCTTCTCAATCGAAACTAAAACTAGGGAAAATGGAGAATTAAAATTGTAAAAATCTATGCTATTTAAGATCAGATATCAAACACCGTCACGGTCATGATTTCTTTTGTTTAAGCTTAATGATGGTGTTTGAGAAGTCGTGTTACGGCCATCTTTACAAACCTAATGTCTCACAGGGCTCGTTGATTCCCCTGCATATGTCATGCCTATCAAAAAATAAAATGAACGGAAAGTGGATCTTAGTTCTTGTTAGCCGGGAAAATATTTTATTCATCAATCCCTTAAAACTAATGTACAAGAGTATATTGACGATTGTTTTTTTCTCGCAGGGAAATGGAGGGGTTTAACAGGGAATCCGGTAGTTCCGGAATTTTGGCAAAGAGTTAATCCGTAATCTTCTTGGCAGAGCTTTCTAAGTTTTAGTTGGGTTAGACAACTTGTATTGCATATATAATTTAGAGGAACGAAAGAACCAGAAGGTAACCTATTCCGGGGCTCTCAAAATGCGAATAAGGCTCAAAATGAGAAATAAAACATGCAGAGACACCCGTTGGACCTCCAACTCTGTTTTCAGGTCCTCGGGTGGGAAGAGAAATATTGGAAACTAGAGTGTGACGACGGTTTCGACGTTGTTATCCCGCGGGTGATCTCGCGTTTCATCCCGTGCATTAACTCGTGTGTGTGGTTTGTTCCATGCGCTTTGAGAACTTAGCCTGATAGCAAAACGTCCTGAAAAAATATACAACGTTATCAACTGACAAACCTGGTTATTAAGACTGCGATGTCATGATGATTAGGATGGTCCTCTGATTTAGGATTAATGAGAGTCGCCCAGCGACAGAAGTGTTTAAGAGTGTGGCCGGCATGATGTGTGACTTTTAGGGCACTCTGAGGATAGACAAAAGCATTAGAAACAGTGTAAAAATCTTTAGAAATTTGCGTACAAGTACACGTTTGAACTAATGTGTGTATAGTCGCTAGATTCAAGCATCCAATTATAATTCAGGGAAGTGTGCATGATCGAAACCTTGTCAAGCAGACTTTGAATTAGCCCACCGTTTTAGCGAGAGGAACGTGACGACGAGCTCCCGTCACAAGGAAAGCTTCAGGCTTCAGGCTCTCTCTGATTAGACAATAAGAATCGCTAATGTCGTCAATGTTTCAGGTATGCTTCGAAATGAGCCTTGGCATCCTCTCTTGGATTTGGCCAATAACTTCACTCATAACAAACGAACCCAGTTAATTATCGACGAAATGGTGATGTGTTTTTGACTGATCTCTTGTGATTTCTTACCGGATTTTCCTTTAGAATCATCACTCGCACCAGCACAATGTTGATCGCTGTGCCGATACTTGGGTTCCGAAATATGTTGCTCACCTGACGAAAAAAAGTGTAAAAAGTTTGAATGAAATCTTTAAACGCTGTTTCAAATGTTTATATATAAGTGTTGGAACAAATTCATTGTTTTACCTTCTCCTTCTAACACGAGTTTGTGGGAATTTGCCATTTTACAATCACTGATGAAGTCAAACGAAAAATTTTCTCCCAAAAGTACTCTAGTACATATCTCTCGCAATGCTAACAAAAAATATGCAAAATAAGTAAGTTTGGCAAGAAAGTTCATCTCAAAAACAGTAAAAACATACCATATTGGCTATAGTGAGGAGATATTCTTCTAATCCGCCCATGTAAAACTCGTACATTGTCTTGTCAGCGACCATCAGCATCTCCACGTTTTTCTCCATGCTAACTGAACGTCTTTCACGGCCTTTCTGTCGATTTCTCAACTCGAGGTATGGCGAGCGAAGCCTACGTTTCAAAGTAATCGGTTCTAAGAGAACAAAGATCAAAATAATTTTTTCACTAAATTTAACCTTACAAGCGTCGAGAAAATGCCTAAGACAGGTCTGGTCCCCGCGTAAGACACTGGTCAGTTGGTGCAAATTGGGTAGATGCATCACTTAGAATTACACTTCACTATTACCACATTATATAACCAGAATATTAATTTGGGTGACATGTACCTAGATTTTGGTTCATTTATTAAATAGCCAGATGTCTCAATTCTCATAAGGTAGTGTAAATTTTCACAACTGAGAGAGTAAAATAACCATGGCAATTTTTCCATGATAGTGAAAATGATCGTGACGCCAAAATGACTTTGAACTATAACCACAAGGCATTTCTTCTCTCAGTTTACGTTTTAGGCTTGCTTGAAAGAGCTATGTTATACTAAGTGAACACAAAGATATCAAAGGATCGATAGAAATATAAGGGTTTACATTAGAAGCGACGACTTCATCAGAGAACATATCTGTACCTTGGTCAGAGCATAACTCCGTGCCTTGTTGTTTCCATGGTAACAAGGAATCATCAAACGATCTCCTGTACACAGCATGAGAATGTTCATCGTCCACGTTTGAAGAATTTTGCTCCCGTACAGGCTCAATTAGGTAGTGGGTTCCATCTTCAGTTTGGATAAGTCCTTTCTAGAAAATTGAAGAGAGATTTTTTTTGGACTTCAGTGTTAAGTCCTTTCCAAGACTGCAGATCGGATGAGCAAAACTGTCGCCACTAGATTTCATTTTTGGTACCATGAAGCCTCTAGAAAGTATCTTTATTCCCCTCTGAATAGAACGCTAATTCATCACAGGTTCCCCCATCTCCCGCCTGTATCTTATAAGGTTTTCCTAACATTTCACATTCTCAGCTTGACCTTATCTACTCCCAAGAACATTACAGAAAGCACACTTGCTAGTGTTTGATCCCGGACCTACCAAAGCAGAAAGTAAACAATCCCTATAAAACTTGCTTCCTGAGGTTTATTGAAAACAACGAGAGCGTATTATGTGTAACTTAACACACTTGGTTGTTATAAACGACATAGTAGAGCCAATGGCGACTTAAGGTACGTTTAACAACTGACGTTTTGATTGTCACTGATTCAGGTATATCGCACGTGCCAGTTATGGTTCACGTGAGAATTTGTCTTAGAATATATGACAACAATATGCGATGGAAAGGAGACAAGCATGTATAACCAACATGACAACAACTGCAGGTGTTTTATGTTTATCACTGAAAATATTCACATGCACTGCATATGCCGATGCATGAATTTCTTCACTGAAAGATCGATACGGTTAGTTCCTAAATTTAGTGAATGTTGTTGTTGTTTATGTTTCTGTTGCTGTTAATGCTGTTGATGCTGTTGAGGGCGGGATATCGAAACAAATATAGTAAGAGAAACATTTCCTATTTCAAAGTGATTTTCAACCGATTGAAAGATCATCAACGAGAAACAAAACGTTATTTTTTGTGGCGATAACTTGATTCAACAGCACTGTCAATTATCAATTTTCGTTAAATCACTGCCAGCACTTTCATGTAGGAAGTTCTTCAAACCGAACTAGAAAGCTAGTTTCTCAAGAAATGACCTTCGCTTGGGACGTAAACCCGTTGCAGATGTTAGTACTTGATGATAAAAAGTTTGAAATGTTTTACATTCTGCTGTCTTCTGGCCAACACGAAGAGTGGCAAAATGCGGTTGACGGTCAGTAAAATGGGAGACAAATTAAGTATGTCTGTATTTCAACACTGAATCCAATAGACCTTAAATAACATACAAAATGCTTAGAACAGGGCGCAGTTCTTGACCTGTTGACTCAGTACAGGAACGCATGTTTTTTTCAGATTTTTTTCTATATATTGGTCAGGTTTTTCGACACGGATACCCTCGTAATGGGAATATTAATTCTCGCGGGATGGTTTTTGGTTTCTTGAAAAATAATCTCTTACCTCAGTTTATTAGAACAACTATGCCTTTTCTAGTTACTAAAGTCATTTACGAGTGGGTCCTTGGATGACTGACTAAAGGGCAAAACGTATATATATCATGTATGGAATGAAAACGATAACTAGTCGGAGAAAAATGAAAAGTATTTTGAGGAAAATGGGGAGGACTGTATATATTACTTCAGCTCATAAACAAAAGATAGTTCTCTTCACTGTGGTATTTTTGTTTTTATTCAGTCGTCTCGGATTTTTTTTTTCTCGTTTCTTTTTAGACGGCAAGGAATGAATCGCACGCAAACGAAAAAACAAACGAATTCGCGATGTTTGCTCGTCGACATTCACTTCTCATGTAACAAGAAATTGTATCTTCAACACCTATACACATGTTGCGGATAAACTTGACCTCCCCGAGATTAAGTTAAAAAAAATATTGAACTCCCGCGACCCGTACTGTCGAGAAAATGCTTTCACTTTCCAGACCATGCAACCCTTTCTGTAACAATGTCAAGGTCGGTGTCATATTCTCCTTACTATTTTTGGTAAAGTTTCTGTTGCTATACTTGAGAGAATTTTAGCTGAAATCAGGCTCTCTTTCCTGCGATTATGATAAAAACGTCTTTCTCGTAACCTTCCAAATTGAACATGCTGTAAAGTTTTGAATGTGTCGCTAGACGGATTAAAAGGTTAAACAAACTAAGAACCGGCTGCAATCCATTTTACACTATAGTTTTGACTGCGTGTTTGCAAGGCTTTGAAAAACATTTATCATAGATTAATGAAATGATAAAGACGCGAGTTAATGAAATTATCTGATTATCAATAGCTATCATATTTTGGCAAATCAATTAGTGTTTGCAGTTAATCACGTGCGGGGTATTTAAATAATTGGTTGTTGGCACGATAGCGAGAAACCGTGCGCGCGCAGGGATTTTTTGTCGAAAAATTCGTCGGCTTTCAAAGATTTGACATCAAGATTTTAGATTCTAATGACAGATTGAGAATGCTGCTTTCATACCATTCTGTACTTCCGACGTAATTCTGTTTACAAAGAGGGACCAACGATTTGTTTTTGTTAGATATGGAAAATTGTCATTTGTGATAGTGTTCTTCAACTGGATCAAAGAAGGAGTCTGGCATTGAGTAAACAGTGTTTGAAATGCGCTATCTTTTAGACAAACAGTTGTTTCTTTGCTTCAAGAACTGTCGAACGATTAAAATGTTATTTTAACGCTCCATAATATCAGATTTCATCTATGGGCATGTTGATTAAGTTTTATGGTGGCGAAAGTTTGGATAATTCGCACGGACTTCGTGAAAACACAACTGAAAAAGCCATTCCAAAAGAGGGACATTTGTTTCTTGTAAACTAGTTTTGAGGTGTTTTAAGAAGAACCTCGCTGGAGCTTACATGCGCTTTAACCATCAGTATATCTTGAAATGTCTGAGTGTTTTGGATAAGAAATTCAAACCGCACCAGACAGTAAAAACAATACTCTGTAAGAATGGCGCAAAAGACGAAACATGTGAACAACTGTTACTTCCATCAGAACACGAAATTTTGTTGCTTCATAAATCCTTCCATTATGCTTGATGCTGACAAGCCAGCTCGTGTTGTTTTCGCCAGTTATTTTGCGACTAAATTCACTTTCTCTAGATGACAGTTTTTTGATAGATGAGAAAGCATCTTTGACCCTGTGTAAGGGTAAATGTGCAAAAAGGAAATACCGCGAGCGAATCAGTTCCGAAATAACTGGTTCCGTCATTGCAGGCTAGCATGAATGATCTGGCCCAGAAAACGTCTTGTGAGTTCGCATTCCGTGGTAACATAAACCTAACCGAGACAAATCGCTTGGATGTTCAAGAATCTTCCCTCAATTTGACTACAGAAAATTTCAAAAGCTCAAAAGGGACTTGTCTGCATCGTAGCATTTGAAAGGGATTAACTGAGTTTTATGACTGCGCGAAAAAAAAAATTATCTATTTGCTAAGTTCCACTCCATCACGCACCTTAGAAAAATCACAAGCTCTTTTGTGTTTTTTTTCTTTACTCTCTAAGTTTTAGCCAACCAACATTAAATATTTCAAAACTCAGTCCTGGCAAAAATTTCTTCCTAGATCACTGTAAGACCTTGCAGTAACTCATTTGGTATAATTTAGGGAGTTTTAGCGATGACGACGATGACGCCTCGTAAAAATTAAAAAGTAATTATATTTTGTCCTCAAATTCCGCAACTGTGTAGATCTGTTCACTTGGCCTATCGGTCTTAAAACTTGCTCAGGCTAAGTATGTATTGACACCGTTTAATTCCAAAAGAAGAAGGGATAAATTTGCCATTACGGCTCACGTTCTCCAAAATACGTACGACTTTAAAATTTCACGTTGTTGTTTTGCAGAGGACGGCAAAGAAATGTACCAAGATTCAAAACGCACGTGCAGAGCCATTGTTCTGCTCATTAAACCTTTTGTTTAGTGACGTCCTCGTTGGCGTCTTCGGCGTGGTTTGCTAAAACTCCAATTGTTCCTGAAGCCGAACTCAAAAATATCATGATTTGAGCGTGGACCACTTTTTCTCCAATTTTCCCGCTTGTGATTTTGAAACAAAAGCCAAAACCGGCAAACAGACAGAAAATCGTTACATGTACATCTATAAACGGAAAAGGAAGGATTTAAGATTGCGCTGACAACAAAAAAGCACAAACCGAGGTTTTACCGTGGGAAACAAAACAACGTGCCGTTTGTTGTTGAAGAGAGATCCATCATCAATACACACGGAAATCAATACTTCTCGTTGAATTGCAACAAACTTTCTTGTATTTCACCCAAATAAACTCCTTCCCACCACATGAGGTGTTTGTGCTTGTAGCACCAAAAGAAGCCGCTTATGTTGGTCTTAAATTTCCTTTTGTGTCACATATTTTTAGCTAACATCCGGATAAAAAAAAGATGTGCTGAGGCAGCCGCATAGAAAGCGCAGTTGAGGGCGGTTTGTATAGCCACAAAAAAGTTCAAAACGCGGGGGAATTTTTAATGAGTTACAGAATTTCCGATTTTTCTTTGCCATCGTGAGGATTATGAGCGCGGCACTGAATGAAAGATGCAAATCCGTGCGAGGTTTTTTGTCTGGCATTTTGCTATCCTGCAAGACCGTTTGCGCAGTTTGTATTGATTTCCATGTAATGTAAACTGACTGACCTAGAAACTAAAATCCGAGTGAATTATAGGGAAAGAAACATCGTGGTGGTTCGCAAAGTAATACGACTTAACTCTGCGTGACGTGTAGACAATAAAAAGATTTAGAAATAAATAAAGCGGGGATCACCAATAAAACCACATTTGTCGATGGTCATTGGTTTACTGTAACATTAAGTCCAGGTTAGCGGGGTGGTGAACTATTTTATCACGGAAAGCAAGACTAAGGGAAGATGCTTAACGTACCAAACCTTGACAAAAGCTGAGCGATACCGCAGAATTCGGCTGATCCGTTATGTGTCCTGTGTAATGACAGTCGAGGTTGTGTTGCCTAACATCATCGCCTTCTTCGATCACCAGCCCTGGTGCTGTGAACTTTGTGTTTTTGGACAGACGAAGCTGCAGTTTTTGCCCCTCAAATGTCGGTATTTCGAGGTGTAAAATTTCGCCGTCGCTTGTATTTCGTTTCGCACTGTCACCTTGCTGTTCTAGGCGCGAGTTGTGAGGTGATTTACGAACCACGTGCGATACAAAGTTACCGTTGCTGTCGAGCACTGAAGGAATGGTTATCCGGTATTCTTTGTGGTTTCTCGCAAAACGCTCTGAAAAAAAGAAGCGAGTGAAAAATCAATTAGGAGACGGTCGAAGACAGACTACTTAAAAATCTGCTAGCCGCGAAATGATAAATTATACAGTAATGCCGTCAACAGTAAGCGCGCGTCTCAAAACATTCATCTGAGTCTTTGAGTTAAACGATTGCTTATATTTCATTCACCTGGGTGCTTGTCTCCGACGGTTAGAGTGCCGGCTAGTTGGACAAGAACCGCGAAGACTCCAAATGTACAGATTGAAAACATGGCTGCCATACGCGGCTATCTGGGAAGAGATAAAACGGGTTCGGTAAGTTTCTTTACATCACGGCGCTCTGCGCCTCTCGGAAGTGAAAACTGTAGTAGAGTCTCCTTTACCCTTCCTCAAAACTATGCCATTATTTGCATCCCAAGTGTCAATTAGAGGTTGCGAATTAAAAGGATTGCGGTTTAGGCTTGAAAGTGGCTTCACGTAGACGACTGGCCCAATCTCTACTTACTTGTCCGGACGCCTCGGCTGGCCTTGTGTTGTTGTTCCCGACACTTATCTTTCACTTAAGCACATTATCAAAATATAGCAAAAAAATCTCCACGCTCCACAGATTCGACCTTCAGATAGTGAGACGCGAGTGCTGTGTGTACCTTTGATCTCGACACAACCACTTGTAACGCGCTAACGCAAGCAAGGCGGCATGGTTTGCGCATTGAAAGTCTGAAGGATGCCAAGTCAAAACTCATTGACAACTGTAGCTAAATATTGATTAGCCAGAATTTGAGTCTTGCTGTGCGAGTGGTATCCAGTTTCAAATCTTGAAATATGGGAAACTAAACACCCTATAAATCTGCCATCGCGTCCTTTCCTTCAAAGGAGAGCTGAGTTTGAGACATTTTTTCAATGTAATGTTTTTGCAAACAAAACGACCATTGTAAGTCCTTGCATTCTATTTTCGAAGAATGTTGACGTCAAACATCGTAGTTTCAATTAATTTTTACTTTTTCAAGAGTTTTTTCCTTCACTTGTTTGGATTAGGCGTCAGTTTTCTTAACGAAGAAGCAAAGAGACAGACAGGCTGTTGATTGAACTTAAAGAATACAGTTGTTTATTTATTTGTTTTCAAGTAAAAGGAACAGAACATTCCAAGCATTACTTACCTACATCCGATTTACAGTGTCATGGTCAAAAGGACTTTTTTTCATATTGCTAACGCATTTTTTTGTTAGAAATTCAGAAGTCAAACATTCTAAGAACTTCAACGCTACACTAGATAGTTCTTTTATTGCAATGATCTACCTTTGCAACATGTAGCAATCTCCACGCGAATCGCCATTGAAAACTTCTGGCCAGCAAGCCAATCTTGCAAGCAATCGCTAAGGCGTGTCATTTGCTTCGTCATTGTTAACACGATTAAACAGTTTAAACTTAGATGGATTAAAACTTCAAACAAAGATGAACTTTAAGGCCGGATTAACGCAACTTTCTGTCATCTTGGTCGTGAGCGAAAATGACTACAAACTTATCACTCATAAACGCGTGCATATTTTTCACCTCTTCATGTACAGCGGGTCCAACATCACGCGATTCTAAAGCGTCCTTCTAAGACCTTCTTACTCACGAATGCATATAATTAGTCCAATATGATTGCATGCACTGATTTAAGGAGTTTAAGTAACTTCCTGTGACTTTGGCCTTTTAGCCACAAAATTGTTTACACTTTAATTTTCATCGGTCGACAGACTTAGTTTGAGACGATGGGCTAATTGCACTATACCAATGAATAAAAGATGTGCTATGAAATCTTCACTCACACGTTAACACATTTGGAGCCTTACTGTGAAAACTGAGGATGTCAGTGCTGCTACCAGGGAAAGCTTACCAACATGATAAGACTAATACAGCATTAAAGCAAAAAAACAAAATGCGAAGTGAGAGGTGTTGATTGGGTTATTTTTAACGAACAATATACCACTTCCGAAAGAGTTGCGTGAAAACATACGAAAAGAGCTTCTTTTCAAGACATAAGGCACCTCACTGCCCGAGACCTGCACCCCGTCTGACCTTTAATTGAATTTTTTCCGAATTTATCATGAGTTTGTCCACAACTCATGGATTGTATTCCCTTAGCTTCCGAGGTCTCCACCCCTAAGAATGTCAGAATCACCGTTCTCTTTTGTCAGCCACTGACTATCTATAAAAAGAAAGCTCTTTATATTACAATAAAAATGTTTGCATAATTTTGACCCAAGCTTAGGAACTTGATCAGCATTCATTTAATTTTTTCTGAGTTTTTTTAAATGCCGATTCTCGTTTTTCGCTTCCTGTTACTAGTCGAGTACTGTTCACTATCAAATCAAACCAATATTGAGAGGTTTCCTAAACAAATAGCAGCCAAAAATGTTATTTAATTTACGGTTTGTCGAGTTTGGCTTTTGCTCATTTTCGAAATACCACTATAGGAATGTTAACATGCACCGAAACCTTGCGAGGCTTGTGCACCCTCCTACAAAGCTAAGGTTAAAAGACTGCATCAATTTTTCTTGCTTTTTCTTGTATTTTTTTCCAAAGTGCCCACTATGTTGTTATCGTTTCGATATACGTCAGCTCGCTCCATTTTGCATGTTCTTTCCCAAGAGAAATCGATATACGCTGTAATTTGTTCAGTATGGATTTCCTAAGTGCTGGTTATATCTTAATCATGATCTCTATTCAAGATACTGGCTGGCTCAGTTTAATTGTACAGTTCAGGATCCTGACTAAGCTAAGTACTTTTTGGATATAAATACACTCGTCTTTAATTCAGGTGCAATGAGTCAGTATCAACAGTATGAAACACCCTGCTGTTTTGTAGACAAGCTTAGACATAACAGGACTTCGAGTGAAGTTGCAATGAAGTTATATATCAAATATGCTGCACTGATGTGATGTCTTTGTCTGAGTTTGTTCACGATAAGATAGCCTTGATCAAATATGTGCTGTCAAGGAAGTTAAACAATACTTAAATACATTAGCGAAATCAGAAGCACGTACACTAGTATATGCTCAAAGCTTTGCTCATCACAAAATGAGCCAACGTCATTCTCTCGAGAAATTTATCAGCTCGCGTTGCTTTCTGGGTAGGTCGAACAGAAGTTCGAAGAAAACTGGGGCAAGTCGAGAATTAGGCCAATACAATTTTACTTCTTTTCCTGTTAAAAGAAAATTGTTTGCCTTTAAGCTTTCATCTTTATTGTGTTGAATGGTTTGGACGTGACGGTAGATAATACTCATTATAGCAGAAAAATATGCGTGTTCGTGTGCGCTAGCAAGGCGATAAAAGCTATTAAGAGTTTACAAAAAGCCTAACAACTGTGCCTGATGACCCGAGAGCACTGCACAGACAGGTTAAGATTTCTGAGCAACTAGAAAAAACTGTCGGTCTTAAATGAAACGTTTTAGAAAAAAGTTGTTTTAGAGAGCAAAGAGTCACCTACCTCAGATCTGCATGTGGGTAAGTCTTGAAGCGTACTGACCAAGGGACAAACTGCGACTTGTATTTTAACAAAGCGACATATTAGTCGCCAATTCAGTGAAGCGTTGAGTGAATGAAAAAACACGCTAGACAACCTAATAGTGAACACAAAAGCCTATGACTGCTTGATAAGCCTCTAGTTTAGATTTCGTGATTAGCAACATCCGTTTAATGGAATATTATTTTATTAAACGTTCATTTGTGTGACTATGTATCTTTTGTGTTATGTAGACAATGAGTCAATTCAGCATATGTAATGAAGAAATTTGTCGCCAGCTTTGTGATTTCACTCGACTGGTAAGAACATCGAACAACAGTCCATGACAGTCTACAAATAACCAGTGTCTTCAGATAAGTTAACCAAAAAAAATTGTTGCCTCGGGCGATTAATGTTGTTTTTACAGCCAAGGCATTTGATATTATATTTAGAATAGCAGGCGTTTTGCGTATCATAGAGGCTTAACACACCCTAGCTGCTGATAACATGTAGCCTTGAGCTGCTAATACGACTTCTGTGTTAAACATAGCCATAATGAATCTGCTTATTAAATTTTATCCGTACCCTCATGGGCTTATCTTAAACACCATGGTGGCCTGTTGCATACACACCCTTGACAAGAACTAGATAAAGACATTTCAGAGTAACAAATAAAATTGTAAAATGTTTGATGTTCACTCGACAAAAAGGCAAAGAAAAAGAAAAAAAAAAAAAAANCAAGAGACAGTTCGAGCAGAAAAATTGCTGCTGATGACGACATGCTACAGAGATCCGTACTCTGATTGGTGTTCGTCTGGTTGTGGTTTTTGTTCGCTCAAGTAACCGCGCAAGTAAGACACTGGTACCACGTAGGGTCAAGGAAGCTATTCACATAAGACTTCACCCTAACAACACATCAACAGGGATAGTGGAATTGAAATTCCTGAAGCATGGATACCCACGATCAAGAAACACAACAACACAACAACGATACAACAGCGGACCACTGAGGGAACAGCTACTCGCCGGAACAATGGAACAATAGGAGGATCGAAATGCACCAATCACAGCCGACCTTTGTGATAT